GGGGGGGAGGGGGGGGGGGGGGGGGGGGGGGGGGGAGTCGTAGAGCAAACTGTAAAGGCAGACCATTGAGTATGCCTTGGATAGAAGGCTTGTGGTGATATTCACTGGCATAGACCGTGCTACTCGTGTCGTCGAGTCCTCCAAGACGCGAGAAGTGTGAGAGAAACATCATCGGGTGAGGTATTAGAGATTATTCAAATGGGAAGAGCGCCTTCACACCGACACGTCGTAATGGAGACGACCAGACAGCGTATTACGACGAGTGATTCGACCTCTGGGGCTGATGAAGTCAGGTTGGTACAACCACAAGCAATGGGAGGGAACAGAGATGCAGATTTGAAGCCGTCCCATGATATTATGGGTTGGCTTGGGAGTTGCGCGTTTTGGGGGCTGTAAGCCCACTCTCGAAAGGCGTTGCCAGGCTGGGCTAAGAAGCTCGGTGCAGGACAGGAGCCCCCAACTTTATGAGCGAATGAATTACCAGTTAGATGTGCCCTACATGGTGTAATACATTAGCAGCCCTACTGGGCTGGGCTAAGGAGCGTGTGGGTGTCCTGGTAGCAAGAGGGGAAAGAAGGCATGGGTTGGAAGAGGAGAGACAGAGGCAGAGGAGAAGGGGAAAGGCTGGTCCGGTGAGGAGGGAGAAGCAGGCAATAGTCGTGAGAGCAGAAGGAACCAAGTCATTCGCATAACCTCCCATCTTCTCAAGGACTCACCCTCCCAATCCTTGGCCCCATCATGCTCATTGCCGCTCTGACCCTGCCGAGCTTCACTGCATGCTCCTCCCCCTCCCTCGCCCAGCGTGCGCGGTCCTCAGCGGTGATGCAGGAGGTGGTCGCTTTCGGGAGCTTGGAGGTTGTGGTGTTGGCAAGAACAGGTGTAGGAGCTGGGGAGGCAGGGGTAGAAGCCTTCTTGACCGGCTTTTTACGCCTGGGCAGTTCGGGAACGGCGTGAGGCAAGCGTTTGCGGGCCTTGTAGTTCGGCCCGTCGTTCAGGTACTCGGAATAGGGGGGGAGGATGTCGGTGATGTTGGTTGTGTGGGTATCGGGGATGTCAATGATGATCGCAGAGGAGGGGATTTCATTGCCAGAGACGAAGTCAGTCAGGAGAGAGGAGTAGTCCGAAGCCAGTTGATACTCGCCAGTGGCCGTAGATTTCGTCTATTTGGGATGTTCATGAGTCGAGTCGTAGTCAGATTCAGTGTCAGAAGTCATCAGGTCGGGGAGGTCGCCATACGTGGGAGGAGCAGGAGAAGAGCCAGGGAAGGAGTCCCAGGAGCTGGAGAGAATGGTGAGGGAGGCGTTGGAGGTGGTGAGCGGGGTGAGGGAGGTGCTGGAGGGGTGGATGGGCGAGACATCAGCGCTGGCAGAGCTGGCCTTTGCTGAGGAGGTGGGGACCGGAGAGTTGGCAGTGTCGCTCTCTGCAGTGCAGACAGTCACGCCCTTGGGTTTGCTAGACCCAAGGATGACTTTGCCACCTCCCCACAAGGCAGAGGCCGCCCCACCGCACAGGCCGGCAAGGACTTCAGAAACACGGCTGTGCTGCCCCTCTGCCCCGACGTCCGCCCTCTTGCCCTAAGCAACCACATCGGTCGCTTGCTCAGGGCAGTCACATCCAGGGTCTGGGAAGGGCAGCACAATATCTACAGCTCGAGGTCAGCAGACACAAGACAGCCCGAACAAGGCAAAATGCACCATTCTGCCCACTCCCGACCTCTGTTTCATTCCTGCATACGCCAGTGGTGATAGGGTGAAGAGAGGACAGCGTATGAGCCGCCATCTTGTCCAAGGTGGGTTTGTATGTATCACAAGGCAATTGGTAGTGGATAAAAGAGTACCTAACAAAAACAAAATGTACTTATTACAATGTAAAGGCTAAGCAGCTTTGGAAAGAGTTAGAAGACAGTTGTGATTTAGACGTGGTGGTAGGAGGTAGACAATGGTGAGGGGATCATGGGCAATGAGGAAGCCCCTTAGGCCTGCAGCCACACATAGATCTGATGTCAGCTCCAGGTTCAATGATCTCAGGGATCGCCAAGATCAACACCACATGCTTGTCATTCTCTTCCTCCAACTCATGGTCCTCTTTTTTTTTGTTCAGCTTTTTTTGGTCTGTCTAGGTGACCTCTGGCAACCACTGTCAACATAATCTTATTATTCTACCTACTGGCGATTACTCTGGCTGGCAACAAAATGTCCACATGAGTTCTTTGCTCTGCTGGCCTTACATAGTTGAGCCAGCTAAGCACCTGGAGGCTGCCAGTTTTCGACAGCCTACAAACATGAGGCTAACTTGTGTATGCAGGTGCACAGCTTGCAAGATGGGGGGGAACCACTATCTGCAGCTGTGTTCAAGGCCAAATGCCTTCTTACCTTTCATGTGCTGGCTTGGCTCCTCTCCTCTTCCCACCTCAATAATTACAGCAAGAATGGCTGACATCATCAACATCATCTCTTCTGTGCTCAGATCCTCCTCCCCCCTCAGTGCCCTGGAGAAGACATTGGACTGCTGGGAGAAGGGTGAGCATCTCTTTTCTGCCTGCAAGGCCTCCAGCAACTCCCTTGGCTCCTCTGACACCTCCTTTGCTCATGAGGGCCATGCTCATGAGGGCCATGCTCATGAGGGCCATGCACATGCCTCCCCCACCCTCAATAGGAAGGGCAAGAAGCCTGAGAGCGCCCCTGTGCCCCCCTCTTGTGCGGAGGGGGCATATACAAAGTTTGGAGGCCTGACCCCTGTTGAAGTGGGGTTGGGTGAACTCCTCTTCAAGCACCTTTGTCAGCTCAGCTGGCCTGTCGATGAGATGGGTGGTCACAAGCTCTGGCAGATGTTTATTGGGGAGAACATTGAGGACAATGAGGAGGAGGGGGCAGAGGAGGGCAAGGGTGTGGGTGAGGAGGAGGAAGAGGGGGAAGAGGAGGAAACAGTTGCAGATGGGGTGTTAGGACAACACAGGCTGACTAAGTCTGCTCACCTAAGAGTGCCAAGAGTCTAAGCAGGCAACAAGGAAGTGGAGTAGACCTGATGACTAAGACCTATCTACAGTATAGGTATCTGTGGATGATCCTAAGAGACCAAGTCTGAAGAGACAGTCCCAGGCAGAGTAGGCCTAATATTTATACCTCTGTGGTGGAACCTGCTAGAACATCTT